GTGAAGGTCGATGCCAAATCAGCTCTGTCTGGCGGGTTTGTGGTTATGTACTACCGGACCATACATGTTGGGTAGAAGACGTCTTTTGGGCCGGTGATCCAGCCACTGAACTGCCCCTCCCCGGGCAGACCAAATCAGTACATCATGTACACATAAGATACCTAAAATATTTTCTTTGAGAAAGCATGTAGATATATTATAACACTCGAGTTTCTAATGTACAGCCCGTTGAGACAATCCTTACTATATAATATAGTGTGCTTATTCATATACAGTGAAACCCCGTTAATCCGCACGTACCGTTCCAAGTGAAAAGGTCCGAATTTGGATTAATGAATGATAAGCACGTGTAATGTTATATTACTTATATATAGATTTGCAAAACGGAAATAGTCCGAAATACAGGAGTTCCCGGATTAACGGTGTCTGGACTAATGGGGTTTAACTGAATAGATACTATTTAACGTTGTCGTTTCATACACTCTTAGACTCCCATTGCCATGCATCCCATGAACACGTAGGACTGAATATGCATAAAGTAAATCAGATGCAGTAGAAACAGATTCTTTCTCCTCCTCCGCGGTGTTTATATATATACTTTTCTCCAATACATGATGCAAGTGGATCATGTCTACAGGCAAAGTTGGTTGGTTAGTTTGTTTTTTGTTTAACGCCGCACTCAGCAATATTCCAGTTATATGACGGCGGTCTGAAAATAATCGAGTCTGGACCAGACAGTCCAGTGATTGATATCATGAGCATCGATCCACGCAATTGGGATCGATGACATGCATCAACCAAGTCAGCGAGCCTGACCACCCGATCCCGTTAGTCGCCTTTTACGACAAGCATAGTCACCTTTTACGGCAAGCACGGGTTGCTGAAGACCTATTCTATCCCGGAATTTTCACGGGTTGTCTACAGGCAAAGAAGTGAAAGTGCCACAATATGATTCAGGGCCTTTATCGCATGCATGTTTATGTAATCATTTCTCATACCTGACAACTGAATAATATGCAAACACAATCATAAGGGGCCTTCAAAATATATCCAGATATTTGTAGTCCGAGATATACGAAGTGCCAATACTAGATATAATGTGTCCACAAGAACCATATCGAGGAGGAAATTCCGGGTTAGAAGTGATCTTCAGCAACCCATACTTGTCGTAAGAGGCGACTAACGGGATCGGGTGGTCAGATTCACTGACTTGGTTGATACATGTCATCGTATCCCCATTGCGACGATCAATGTTCATGGTGTCAATCACTGGATTGCCTAGGTCCGGACTCGACTATTTACAGGGCGCAGTCATGCAGATAGAATATTGCTGAGTGCGGCGGTAAATAACAAACAAACAAAAAACAGAACCATGACACTTTAACTTCTGAAACGACGAATAAATATGACGTTTCATTTTACAATCATTTAACTTAAATCCGCTTCAACAACAATCAAAAACAGAAATCGTTGAAATCCAAAGTGACATGGTTTCAATCATTTCGGTCAACAAGCAACGAAGCATTCATAAAACAGACTCTCGCGAATTAATTTTGACAACTCAGCAGATAATGCGTGTATAACGAAGGCGAGATAATATTTACACAAAGACAATCGAACGGCAGGTCTAGACGGAGACAGGGACAAAGGGGATTCATCGGAAATTGCCTGTTTTGGAATGTGCGTTGATACACGGGGCAACGGAAGGCCCGCAGCTTCGAAGGTGCTCTGGCAATTTCAGCCTGTCAATACTAATGGTCAGTGATCTGGACGAGATGCGGACAAGGAAAATTGTATGGTCAGCAGTCCATCGAACGTACATGAACGGGTATCAGGCCCTGGTATAAACGCAAGTAAAATGGAAAAAAAGAGGCACGTTCAAAGAAAGGTCCGGATGTAACTGTGAACATTGGATATAATTAATATGAAGATCGATTTTTACAGACAAGAGATAAGACATCATGAAAAACACGGAAAGAATTTTATTGATTATAACAAAATATAAAGGTATAACAGAATATATATACATTAGAAACTATCAATCTGATTAACCTGAGAATACCCCGTGAAGATTTCGGTTTAGAAGCAACATGTGCTGGCCGTCAAATAAGAGGCGACCAAATGGATCGGATGATCAGGTTCGGTGACTTGGTCCATTGCGTGTCATCGTACCGCGAGGCCGTGGATCATTACTTTGAATATCGATCATTGGATTGTCTGATACAGACTGGATTAATCACAGGCCGCTGTCATATCGCTGGAATCGTGGGGCGTTAAACAAACAAATGAAAACGAGAGAACATGTGATTGTATAATCATGATCAAAATATACTACTGCTGTACAACATACATGTATTGTTCGTGTCCGTGCAAGGTATGTTATCATAAATATTGAATTACAATTTTATCATTGCTTTAAACACATATAAACAACACTGTTTTGCATTACTTACAAAGACAATTCTTTTGTTTCGAATGGTATTAGAGGGAGTATTCCCGACTTGAGTAGGAATTATGAATATCAAATTTCATAGTCAATAAGTTTTTGCATTGCAGACATCTTTTGATCTCATAAATGTTCAAACTCCACGGACAGAAACGGTTCTTGGAACCTGCCACAAAGGATTGGTATATATAATTATTAAAGCAAGCGTTAAAATATAACGTGGCAGAATATGTATGAGGGTTTCCAATGTATATATCAGAACTAGACGCTTTTGAAACATGTTGCAATATAACTATACCTGTACGCATTTCATTTTGAACCTGGTATGTAAGCATTGATGTGTAGTGTCTTAACGGCTGCATGCGTCATTTTCCTACTTCTATAAAACTTTATTATTTCATTGGGACTATTTATAGTTTGTGCATCGGATCTCATTCACCGGAGAAAACCATCGCACATTTGTCGGTCTCATAGGATTGCTCTAATGCGAGATCCTGGCCTCGTAGATAAGACTAATTCTTTGATATGTGTCCATTGATGGCAACTATTTTCCTGACCAATGTAAGCTGTGTCTAGGATCGATGACAATCTAATTACCATTTTGAAACTATTTAATAACCCTACGTCCCTACAGTGGTATCTCATCCACGGCATGTGGCATTGTACCCAATGTTATACTATCTGTGTTTAGTAAAATAATCTAACAATCCAGCCATGCTAAGTGAGTCTTTATCAAGACGTAAGTTATATGTACATGACTATGTGATAAGAGACCAGACATTTATTATTTGAACGCTATTTACTGATTTCTTTTGATAATATAAATTATTCAGACAGACGAAAAAAACACTTTTAGATAGAAACTAATTGAAACATATGACAATCCTAACAATTTCGCAAAATGTTACAACGTTTAGAACCATCTGATTTTTTTATTGCTGAACTACGAACTACAAATATAATTTTAGCACTAGTTTCCATTTTCTTAATGTACAAAATGTGAAATATTTTGTCAAGTTGTTTGTTTCATTATCAGACTTACATAATATGTAGGTAATGAGATGTCTGATAAATGAATTATTATTAATGTTTTTAGTAAAACCATTTAATTAAAATCTTCAATACAGAATACACTGTGTCAAAAGCAATATATTTACTACATTAGATAGCAGTAATAATGCTGCAAACGTCCTTCGAAATGATTTCTTCATATGAACAAAGTAAAATGTTACAATCTGCGTTACTCAATTGATATCTCCAATTTAGAAATTACGCGTGCTTCTAGTACTTCTATCTGTATGCGTTTCCGTATTTGTTCCCACCACTAAATTGAGTGAGTTAGGTTTAACGCCGCTTTTAACATCATTCCAGTTATATCGCGGCGTGTCAGCTTAATATGGGAGGAAAGCCCGAAGTCATGCAGGTCTCAGACGTTTACCACTTCGGTGAAACTCACGAGCACGGGTATGGTGCTGACAAACCTAGAAACATAATTGGGGCGAACCGGGATTCGAACCCACAATCATAGGTTTCTGGCATGCCCAAGGGACGCAACTCTGCACAGCGAATCGCGGCGCCTAAGAAGACTTGGCCACCCGTGCCCCCCTCCCACCACTACATGTCAAATGTGAGAAGCTTTATGTGTGAACAATATTTCGTGCGCTTAAGCATTTAAAAAGTACACATTTACTTAACATATACATAGAATTATGAATATCTATAATTCGAGTTAAGCCAACAATATCTAATTCAAGCGATTAAGTTGCGTATATTAGGCAGGCTGTTTCAAGGCTAAATCATTCACAGCGCTGTAGCTCACCTGTATCTATGTAGTCAGGTTTCAAAACAAAGACAGCTAAGGAAAAAAAGCTGCTGTACGAATTGACATTCAAATATTTTCTGCATAAATAATAATAACTAACATTGAAATCGAACGAATAGACCAAAAATATGTCATCATAATTGGAAACATACATGCCAAATGTCAGCTTCCTCGGTCTGGTAATTTCTCAAGACATCACAGAGGTAAATGTGAATTTGGAGAGTATCTAAGAGCATGGTCAAAAATGGCCAAACTATAAGATATTGCAAACGAACGTACCATATCTAGTATGCACCATTTACCAACTACATCTGCACCAAATGTCATTACAACTTGAAACATAACAAACCGAGGAATGGTCTTACTTTCAGACAGGTGAGCTGGAAATTAACAAACATTTTGACCTTTTCAGTGTTCAAAAACTCACGTATTCTCTTCGAACATACACGTTTTACGACCGTTGACCTTTACCTTTATTCTCAGATGTCAGATTAGGTCAAACTTGTCATGCAGAATTGGCGGTATGACAAAACGAGTATGTTTATTTTAACAACGACAACGCGTAGCCCGATGCCGCAATCCAATATTGTTTTGTTTAGCAATATTGATATATTCCCTATTGAGAGATTACATTTAAGAATGATCATAGTGATTTTGAAATGGCAAGTTTTTCAGCGTTTCAATTGAAACTTTCCTCTTTACTCCTACTGATAAGGCCTTTTGGGAGTCATACTTTCCCATCAATCAGCAATAAGCTGCGACATCAGAGCTTTGGCTTTCTCTTGATTCACTAAAAACAAATATCCGGGGAATCATGTTACAAAAATATTACCTATTATCATTCGTTGCACTTCCCATAAAAAAATATACTGTACACGCTGAAATGTCCAACTATTTCCCTTATTTATTCTTCCGTGATGGATTGATGACTTCAAAATAGAATGTAATGAATACTCTTCAAACTTGACACATTTATCCTTCCCCGTTGTGATACATCAAAGGAAATCCGCTGTTTATGACAAAGTGAGTTGGTGAAGCGATTTATATACATATGCATATAAACTGAATTGACCTTTATAATATTTGTTCATATTATCAAAGTAAAATATACTTGTATTATGAATATAATGATTCATTGACAAACATAAAAAACAAAAATGTAAGACAAGAATATCCTTTGACCTTCAAGGGTATTTGGCACGTGAGGTGGACCATTTGAGTACTTCAAGTAACACCAATCTTCAGAGATCCTTGTGAGCGAGTGAGTGTGTGAGGTTTGACACCTCTGTCACTTATATTTTGGCAGCAGCCATCGTCATAATTAAGTTCTGTCTTCTGTTAAGGGCGACGCCCATCGTAGTTGTCTCATAGCTCTGTCTGTTGAATAAGGCGACACGTGCTGGCATTCTCATACAGTTCACATCCGTCATCTTCTGTGGAATACAAAGTCATGTGTTTCAATGATAAAGAGTCATAAACACACGAGGGGTGATTTATAAGGTCTAAGCCTCACATAGAAGGAATTGCATAACAGCGAAATCTTTCGTTGTGAACATTATATTATGTTTCAGGGAATATTGCTAACAGTGGCTTATAACACTCGTTAATACAGCCATCTATTACAGCGATGAGCATGATAGATTACAATAAACATTTTACAAATGAGTATATATAAATTAATTTTTCAAAAATATATATGTAACACAATAATGAATATGGTGTCAATATTTAACATAGGAATTATTATTTCCCCAGGGAATTCTGTTTTTATGTCCAAAGCTTTAGCGAGTATCATAATGATTATGTTTACTTAAACCTTAAAACAAATTACTATCACCATAATTCAATATTATACAATTCTTTTACAAATTAAAGGTGCATGAAAATAGTATTTAGCTTCAGTTCGAAAGTATATGTAATATCTTCCAAGAGGGCTTGTTTTTACCAGAGCATACAGTTAATATGAGACCAAAACACTTCCAGTACCTTTCTAGTACTACACTGCAGATTCCTATCGTGCATAACTAGAAACATTCCTTTTCTTTCTTTCAAAGCATCACGCCGTTGGGATTCAGATGGTCAGGATCGGTGACTTGGTACCACAAAGGTATGGATTGTCACATATAACAACAATTAGTCGATTGTCTGGTCCAGATTCGATTTTTTAAAGGCTGCTTTGACATAGCTGGGAATTGTTGGAAGTGCGGCTTTAAACAACACACTGATCAAAAGATTTATTAATTCACAGCGTTTGGCTAAACTTTCTGTGATCATATTTCGCCTTATCTTTATGTCTTGGCGGTGGCGTTACTTCCAATGTCCCACTATTACAAGCCATCTCTTGAAAAGTCATCCCTATGCTTACGCGATTACGCGTCTTCTGCCATGAAGAATGTCCTCAAATCTAACGCTCACCCCCTGTTCTATCTTTACACGATGTCATTTCTGTCCCTGTCATACCGTCGTCCGACACAGGCACCCCGATCTCTGTGTTGACGTACACCGCCTCCTCCTCCTCCTCCTCCTCCTCCTCCTCATCCTCCACGTCCACCACGCTGTCGGGACGTTCCAGCGCCAGCCGCTTCTCCTCCATCAGCTGCTTGGCACAGTCATGGATGAACACGTACTGGGTCTGGGGAGCAAATACAAGAAGAGATGAGTGGACAGCCGCTTTGAACAGAATTTCAGTTATAGTTCATTTTGCCTTGCTTTGCTTTGCTTTGCTTTGCTTTGCTTTGCTTTGCTTTGCTTTAACGCCGCACTCAGCAATATTTCAGCTGTCTGGCGGCAGTCGGTAAACAATGCAGTGGTCGACACCATAAGAATCACTGCAGGCAATTGGAATGCGATGACATACAATCAACCAAGTCACACCGGGAGACCGCCAAGTTTCTAATGTGCTCTGGTGCATAGGTCTAGCAGTGTATCACTTTCAACATATCCGCCAAGCGCTCATGTCCACAAGATTGTCACCTGCTGATTGACAAAAGCCAACTCGGTAGGGAAACAAAATGACCAGAAATGCTGCAGAAATTATACCGAAAAGACAAATGGCGCCGAAGAAGAGAAAAACACTTGCCACGCATATTTGAAAACATTTTTTTCCAAGCGAACCGTTTTTATAGGATCTGGCGACTGCACTCAATCTAATCGTAGGGAAAATCAAATGGTTAGACTACATTTTATTCATCTGATTAACGCAATGCCATGGTCGTCTTTTCCTTTAATGGTGCCGATCTCCGTTTCTGCCTTCATCAGATGTTATAAATCAAAATAATAACTTGAAAACACAATAAAGCTTTCAGAATATTAAATTATATGAATATTTTGAAATTTCACAACATATCATATATATTCGTATCTGTTTCATTTTGAAGAATGCTTGTATACATGTAAATAGTGATGTCGATTTTGTTTTGATTCATTCTAGTCGTGTCGCTGCACTATGGTCTCTTATGATGACAGCTGACCAGTGGGTTTTCAAGGTCGGCAAAAAAGCTAAAAGGCATCTATGGGTTAACAAGTGTGGCCTGTGGAAATGTTTCTTTTTGTGTACCGACGGAGTGGTTTACTGCTCATATCGTCAACCACTAGTTGAGGGGCCCAAGCTTTAATAAAATTCATATGGCTGGAATATTGCTGATTGCCGAGCAAAATACCATTTACTCATTCGCATTGTGCCAAAGTGGGTAAATCATGTATGAAACCCGTCATTCCATTCTCGTGTATTGGCACAAGAAAGTTTGCCATGTATTTGACCTGTCAGAGCTATAGACGTGCATTGGCACAAGACTGTATGTCGTGTATTGAACCTGTCAGAGCTATAGACGTGCATTGGCACAAGACTGTATGTCGTGTATTGAACCTGTCAGAGCTATAGACGTGTATTGACACAAGACTGTGTGTCGTGTATTGAACCTGTCAGAGCTATAGACGTGTATTGACACAAGACTGTATGTCGTGTATTGAACCTGTCAGAGCTATAGACGTGTATTGACACAAGACTGTATGTCGTGTATTGAACCTGTCAGAGCTATAGACGTGTATTGACACAAGACTGTATGTCGTGTATTGAACCTGTCAGAGCTATAGACGTGCATTGACACAAGACTGTATGTCGTGTATTGAACCTGTCAGAGCTATAGACGTGTATTGACACAAGACTGTATGTCGTGTATTGAACCTGTCAGAGCTATAGACGTGTATTGACACAAGACTGTATGTCGTGTATTGAACCTGTCAGAGCTATAGACGTGTATTGACACAAGACTGTATGTCGTGTATTGAACCTGTCAGAGCTATAGACGTGTATTGACACAAGACTGTATGTCGTGTATTGAACCTGTAAGAGCTATAGACGTGAATTGACACAAGACTGTATGTCGTGTATTGAACCTGTCAGAGCTATAGACGTGTATTGACACAAGACTGTATGTCGTGTATTGAACCTGTCAGAGCTATAGACGTGTATTGACACAAGACTGTATGTCGTGTATTGCACCTGTCAGAGCTATAGACGTGTATTGGCACAATACTGTATGTCGTGTATTGAACCTGTCAGAGCTATAGACGTGCATTGACACAAGACTGTATGTCATGTATTGAACCTGTCAGAGCTATAGACGTGTATTGACACAAGACTGTATGTCGTGTATTGAACCTGTCAGAGGTATAGACGTGTATTGACACAAGACTGTATGTCGTGTATTGAACCTGTAAGAGCTATAGACGTGAATTGACACAAGACTGTATGTCGTGTATTGAACCTGTCAGAGCTATAGACGTGTATTGACACAAGACTGTATGTCGTGTATTAAACCTATCAGAGCTATAGACGTGTATTGGCACAAGACTGTATGTCGTGTATTGAACCTGTCAGAGCTATAGACGTGTATTGGCACAAGACTGTATGTCGTGTATTAAACCTGTCAGAGCTATAGACGTGTATTGGCACAAGACTGTATGTCGTGTATTGAACCTGTCAGAGCTATAGACGTGTATTGACACAAGACTGTATGTCGTGTATTAAACCTGTCAGAGCTATAGACGTGTATTGACACAAGACTGTATGTCGTGTATTAAACCTGTCAGAGCTATAGACGTGTATTGGCACAAGACTGTTTGTCGTGTATTGAACCTGTCAGAACTATAGACGTGTATTGGCACAAGACTGTATGTCGTGTATTGAACCTGTCAGAGCTATAGACGTGTATTGGCACAAGACTGTATGTCGTGTATTAAACCTGTCAGAGCTATAGACGTGTATTGGCACAAGACTGTTTGTCGTGTATTGAACCTGTCAGAGCTATAGACGTGTATTGGCACATGACGTTATGTCGTGTATTGAACCAGCCAGTTCGATCGACGTGTACTGGCACAAGACCGCCATGTGCTGGTCTTGAGAGGCTCGGCGGACATGAGTCATCTTTGGTCATAACATCAATCACATACTTGTCTGCGTCAGATTCCATTATGGCCATACCGCCATCATTTTGCTGGAATATTGCGGCGTTAAACAACAAACACACACCCACTGGCACACGACGCCATGTCATGTAAGAACGCTGGCTGCAGCTACTAACCTCCGTCTGGACCATGAGGACTCGGTTGTTCCTCAGCTTCATCACTAAGCCGTATATGTCTACAGTGTCTGACAGGCCGTGCTTTTCAATGAACTGGATGAGATAGTCCAGGCATATGAACGTCCCTGTTCTCCCAACGCCAGCACTGGAAAGATAGGTGAACTCTTTAGTAAATGTCACAAGAAATGGATTACATGATCTTTGGGATAATCTCTTGCTGTGCATTGTAATTCCGTGTGTAGCTCGAAATTTAATCTGTTCAGGACAAACATTTTTTGGGGAAAAAAGAATTAATAACATAAAGGAATTTCTGTTTACATTTGCATTACAATTAACATTTTGTTTGATGTCTCATTCTTGGTGTTTTAGTAACAGTGACATAAAGGAATGCTCAGAGGGAAAATTAAACATACTTTGGTCTGGGAAAAACAATAGTTTGGCATTTCAATTGGCATCAGTACTTCTGGAAAAAGCATATTCAATCTCCTCAGAAGAGAATGGAATATTTTCCTGACAATTTCAAAAATGGTTAACATAAAAGATACTCTACAGTTCAAAGCTATGATAACCCACGTGGTGCTCGTAAACAGGTAACACAAAAACAGGATCATAAGACCTGCATGGAATTTAATTGACTGATACGCGAACTGTGACATTTCTAGTACCAAATGTGAATAATTCAATCAATCATTCATTCATTCATAAGTTTGTTCACAAACGTAATCAAGAATGGATGGATACCTTGTAATGTCGATTAAATCCTTGAATTATCTAGGTTTCCACAATGCATAACATCATATACTCGATGCCTACGCTATTGGCTGAAGTTATTATGTACGCCTGAACATCGTCGTGAACATTGCTAAAGAAACCTTATAATATGCTTACATATCTTGATACTATTGGGAAGAACACATGGGCTTCCCGCAAGCGCGTTACTCTTTTTAATCATGGCTTTGGATTTGTATTGACCTCGCAATCTATTGGTGACATTGATATGATTTGATAACAATTTCGTACTCGTGCTTTAAATATGTTCCGACAGGATTGGCATTCTACATTTTCAGAAAGTTCAAGATACGACACATTTATTAAGTCTCTCCTTGTACTAGAGTCGTATCTTCCAAATTTTAGATTCAAGCACCTCCGCAATACCCTTATACAGTTTAAGTGATCTAAAAGTTAGTGAAAGAATATATTTAAATATTGGAAAGTCCCTATGAATTTGCGGCATATGTTAGCTTGGTGTTGAAGACTATGTTTATCTGCCATGAATGTAACAAAATAATAATGAAAGATACACGCCCTGCTCATTGTCATGTTTATCTTCTAACAAACTTGTATGTCGGCGGTCAAATAAAAAGTATAACGTTCAACTACAAGTACCTTTACACATTCATCATGCATTTACGCTATATCAGTTACATCTGCTGTTAATATTACTGCACGTTCATGTCACCAATTTGTATATGGTACATACAAATAAACACAGTTTCATACAATAAACCTCTAAAATTAATTGAAACAAATTCATATGCGATGCATTTGCACAGATACACAAAATACATCATCAGTTACATGTACGCTTTGTATAAAGTTTAATGATTCGTTTACAATCGCCTGTTGTTTGATGTAATTGGAAATAAAATAAAAATCTTCCAAGCATTTACAAATCCATACAAAGTAAAACCACGCTTATCCGGACGCTGGCGTTTTCAAGGAATCGTCCGGACAAACAACTTTCCGGATATGTGAATCAATTTGTAAACAGACCAGAGTCACTTTCCCTACTCAACTCAACCACGATATAAGTGTCGTGTAGGCGGGTTTCCGGATAAGTGGGGCCCCGATACTATAGTGGGTTGTATAGTATACATAATGCATATAGACAAATACTGTCAAATACTGACCTACTGTACTGTGTCAGTCTGTGTACCCATTTGATATCAGGTTAATATCCCTCGTGAACTATGTTTTCTCAGGTAAAAGTTATTCCATACACACTTGACATGAAATAGGAACCTCGTAAAATATCGTATAATTATGTACTCAAGGATAAAGTAACTGTGACTAAAATTTCTTAATAACTCATGAAAAAAATCCTTCTTTTCAAACTGCTGCGCGTGTCCTACAGGGATTGAAAATAGCAGCATATGTCAGCAAAACATATGAAGCCAAGATTGCTATAGAATTGTATGTTTGACTCCCAGAAAGCCAATCAGACCCGCCTGTTGTCAAACACCTATACACCTTAAATCAATGCAAACCTTAGCAAACGACTTGAGTTTTGACTTATTGGATTTTAAAAATTCACGATATAGTATACAAGAACAAGATCACAGTGACTGTCGCTCGTGAGTAGGCCTATTTCTGATGTTACCTGCAGTGGATCACGAGCGGCCCTTCCATGTCCGGACGGAGGTGGGATCGGACTGTCCGCACGAAGTCCAGGATGTCTGACCTCTCCACATCAGCTGACATGTCCTTCCAGTTGAGGAAGTGGAAGTGTTGTACCACCCGTACATCTTTATCCTAGAATTGGCAACGTCATCAGTAAACCTTTGAAGACCAGCTTGCTACATATACATTTCTTAAAGATATCAATGATGTTTGGTTCGACATTGCGACTATCAGCACTGATGCAGACATTATTTTACTGGCGCATCCATGGATAGTTTAAGTTTGAGGTGAAGTGAAATGGGTTAACGTCGTGTTGAAGATTATTTCACTTGAATAGTGACGTGCATGCATGTGTGTGCGTGGCTTGTACTGGCCCGGACTTTTGTCGGTTTCATAATGATAACCCACTGATGCCGCAGTTTAACATGGATACTCAACTCAATCACAATATACTGACTACGAGCCAGCCGATCCTTGTTTTGTCCCTATAATGTCTTATTTATAATAATATACCAAGATAAAAATGTATCTTTACTAAAAGATCTCGATATCTGTTTGGCCTGGCGCCGTCTTGTAAAAGTCTCTACAAGTCAGCTGGCCGGTCCGTAAGCATGTCATGATAATTGACGTGACGTCACTCTCTTGTTATGTCACAAGTGTTACCAGTTACCAGATACCATACAGAAAGGCCGGTGGCCTATGAACTCATTATTAAATATTCGTTACATATTTCGCGCTAAACGTTTGTCTTCACCCTCGACCTTCAGTCTCTTGGTGTACAAACCCATTCAGCTCGTGAACATATTACTTCCTTTGCATTTCTTCTGTTTTCATTGTATTCATAGCAAGCTATCACATACAGGGTTACTCTGGACTGCTAATGAAATGTCCTCATTTACCTGTCCATTACTCAGCTTGAACATCGTGACGTTGTAGGTGTTGAGGGAGGAGAAGGATGTGTTCTCCACCACGATGTCACCGTACTCTTTGGGTTCCTGAACCTCCGCGGGCCAGTACTCTTCACACTTCACCTGAAGCCCGATACTAGACGTTACCTAATATACTTTAGTCACGCTAAGACGGAAATCATCTACCTCTGTGTTTAACGCCGATTGGTAATGATAACATTTCTCGTTTTAATGTCAGGAAAGAAGCTGTTACTTCTTAGTTGCTTTATTTTTCTCAGATGCCCTTGTCTGGTACAGACTCGACTATGGACAGACCGCCGTCATATACATGTCGCTGGACACGAACAAACGTTTAAAAACCGTGGGTAAGCAATGTTTGATTGGGGAGAGTAGACGGTCGTTACACGAAATGCAGCTCTGGATGATTCTATTTAATTGTGCGAGGTATGGTAGTAGATGGTCGTTACACGAAATGCAGCTTTGTATGATTCTATTTAATTGTGCGAGGTATGGTAGTAGATGGTCGTTACACGAAATGCAGCTCTGGATGATTCTATTTAATTGTGCGAGGTATGGTAGTAGATGGTCGTTACACGAAATGCAGCTCTGGATGATTCTATTTAATTGTGCGAGGTATGGTAGTAGATGGTCGTTACACGAAATGCAGCTCTGGATGATTCTATTTATTTTTGTGAGGTATGGTAGTAGATGGTCGTTACACGAAATGCAGCTCTGGATGATTCTATTTAATTGTGCGAGGTATGGTAGTAGATGGTCGTTACACGAAATGCAGCTCTGGATGATTCTATTTATTTTTGTGAGGTATGGTAGTAGATGGTCGTTACACGAAATGCAGCTCTGGATGATTCTATTTAATTGTGCGAGGTATGGTAGTAGATGGTCGTTACACGAATGCAGCTCTGGATGATTCTATTTAATTTTGCGAGGTATGGTAGTAGATGGTCGTTACACGAATGCAGCTCTGGATGATTCTATTTAATTTTGCGAGGTATGGTAGTAGATGGTCGTTACACGAAATGAAGCTCTGGATGATTCTATTTAATTTTGCGAGGTATGGTAGTAGATGGTCGTTACACGAAATGCAGCTCTGGATGATTCTATTTATTTTTGTGAGGTATGGTAGTAGATGGTCGTTACACGAAATGCAGCCCTAGAAGATTCTATTTAATTTTGCGAGGTATGGTAGTAGATGGTCGTTACACGAAATGCAGCTCTGGATGATTCTATTTATTTTTGTGAGGTATGGTAGTAGATGGTCGTTACACGAAATGCAGCTCTACATAATCCTATCTATATGTTTCAGGGATTGCAGTAATGGTTCACCTTTCCATTTTCTTTCACAGGAGTAACCATGACAATGATGGACACCTTCTTTTCCCAGATCATTCTCCAGAAATCATCCACTGTACCAGGAAGTGGTCCTTGGGAGGCGATGTATTCGTTCTCACAGTTGTAGCCCTGGGATAAGGAAGTAAAGATAATTATAGTCCTCTTACAAAGATATGGGCAGACCACACAAAATAGAGGATATATAGAAATAGCTCCAGCACAAAGATATTGACATATATACTGATGATAACACACAAAATAGTGGACATAAAGATATAGCCTCAGGGCAAAGATATGGGCATATAAAATGGTGAGAACACAAATTATAGGATATTTTAAGTTATGGCGTCTTTAGTTTCCGTATATGGTGTCATGTTAGGATAGCAGAAAAATATTGGGCTAGGCGACCATACGAATTTATTATGCCGAAATGTGTTCACCTTGTATCACACAAAGACACATATCGCACTTTACACTTACTCATTGACATTAAGGGTCGAAGGTAGACTACTCTTCAAACCTTAGAGGCCAAACCTTGTTGAAATTATTAACTATTATCTTTATCAATAAAGGCACGAACGTGATTTCTTTTAAAATTAAAGACCTTGCACGTCACAATGAATGATATAAAACACAAATATGTGTCGAGTAACGAATATCTGTACCAGCATTTTCATGTGAAATATGTGTGGTGGATGTTGGAAAACCCGAGATGGCTGTTACTGATGGTATACGGTTTCATATTAGATCAGTAGCATCTATCTTGGAATGTTACCAACGGTGTACGGGTTCATATGGAATTAGATTTCCTGCTCTCTGATTGGGTAATCTCACTTTGAGACATAATACAAAATATTTATTTATATTTAGTTATTTTAAGAAACAGATGCAGATTTTACAAGCGAATCCCAACTCGGATGATAGCCGCATCATTTGTTGTCTTCACAGTTCTCTTAAATAGTCTACTTTTACCAATGTTTCCTTAAGGGACACAACCCATGCTCGTCGTAAGAAGCTGCTGACGAGATCGGGTGATCAGGGTAGCTGTTTGATGCATCTCATCGTATCCCAGTTGCGTAGATTCGTGCTCATGATAATTGTCACTGGATTGTCTGGTCCAGAATCGATTATTTACAGGCTGTATTGGAAGCTGGGATATTGCTGAATGCGGCGATAAACAACAAACCAACAAAAACGTTTGCCCTAAGAATGCAGTGTTTTCTTTGTCGTGATGGTCTCCAGCCTTAATTTGAGAGTTCTTCACCATATGTTTGTACTTTAAATATAGATGAACATATGATAAATCACAAACATTTTGCTTTTGTGTTTTTTTGGTGAAGCATATGTGAAACTGTACACATATAACACCAAATATGGCTTACCGGCATGTAACTTGCGTTGATGTAATCTGAAGTCTCGTCATCATCGATAACTTCAAGAACAACCCGGCTGTGGTCGACTGAAAGATATGTTTGTGAAAATATGAAGCTACGGCTTTTTCATAGGGCCCCAACCCCGTTATAATTAATATTAGAAATTATGGATCGTATGGACCGTACGAAATTTGGGAGGAAGGTCGAAAAGGTAAATGAATTGTACAGGAATATTTTCATTTATAGATTCGATTCGGGTCGGTAAGATGACAGAAAAATGTTTTTATCATATTCAAGTCCCCAAAATATAGCTTTGTCAAATCGATCTAAAAGCGATAAAAAAGCTCTTGTCTTTCTACCTATACTTTGTTTTAGGATTTTTTCGAGTGTTAAGGTCGGCGAAGGCGAAAACTTAGAAATAAAATGTAAGGCCTTACTTTAGTCCAGCGGTACGCTGACATACTGAAATACTCAACCCAACTCTGACCATAATTACATCTTCACTTACATGGTAGTACATTCACCCATCGGTTCTTCTGTTTGTTCTCGTCAATCTGGGAGGCATAGTTCGTGTGCTTAGGGCTGATGCGGATGATGTTCTACAAACAATAATTAGACAAGTAAGAAAACGTACAACTTTATGAATAACAACTTCTGGTTCATTGCATGTAACGACGTTCCGATGAAGTTTCTTACACCGTTATCAAACTTCATAACGGTGCAAGAATCTCGAAATGTCGCTATCTGCAATAAGGCAGAAGTTATTATCCATAAAGTTCTACGTTCTCGTTCTTACTCCCCAACTTCTAGAATGCTAATCAAACAGTTAATGATGAGACAGGTATCCGAAAATATATGACGCCATAAGACATGCTCTTTTTGAAAGTACATTACATATAAAATCTACTTTATATTTGATTCCGAGAAAATCCCTGTGGATTCAGTAGCTATAATCATAGCTATGGCTTTTGATGGTAGTTAAATATGTTGTGGCGATATTTATGGCCTCATTTTTACATGATATTGGACACTGGTACATACATTCTAACCACATGTCATACAGTGACTGTCGCTTACATGGATCTTATCGGTATCCATCTGTACATGTTGAATAAGGAACTAACAACACACCAAAGTTTAGAAGATATATATTTCCACTCTTGAATCATCTTTCGACACCCGAGTCCCACAATTAGTACCATACTCGTATTAATTAGCGCCTGGTGTGCTTACTAAGTTGACAAAGGGGGGTTTAATTGATACTGGGCGCGTTGTACAAGATAACCTTTACTAAGGTTGAACTTAGTAACTGGGGTTAATCTTAAGGTAACCTTCACGAAAAGGTACGCACGGTGCACAAAACTACCTCTAGACGACCGTCGACAGGATATTTAGCGGTAACCTTAACTAAAGTTGAACTCTTTTGTGTGGGCTATACACCTTCTACGCTTCTTTGTATTTCTGTAACAAATATTTAATATACACAAGAAAATACAGACTGGCATGTAAGCGTTCGAGCTTAGAACGGGCGCTTATAAGGATTACCTACAGATTGGTGTAGGAGTTGGTCAGGGGACGCTTATTGGATCCTTTGCATAATACGTCAAATACGGTATCTGTGTTTATAGATCAGTGGCCACGATAAAATAGGTCTCGAGTTGGTTGGTTGCGTCAGTTTGGGATACAAAGAAAGGCATATGATAAATTTTGGTTTCACCTAAAAACTGTGACACTGAGGCATGTTTCATTTTTTCGGAATCAAATGTGCTTCAGTCTTGACAATGTAATAAGCTTATGTAAAGTTATATGCCTCTTAAGAATATCAAAGGGTGATCAGTAAGACCATCACAGCTACTGTTGTTTTTTAGGATAGTGACATGTAAGACCATCCTACAGGCTACTGACCTCGTAGTCCACGGTGAACTGCAAGTTGCTGTCGGCATGCATCTGTGTAACTCGGTCCTCCATCTCCGACAGCAAGATGGGCCTGGCAATAGTATAGTATAATTCATAGAAAATATATCCATATTTACATCCTAGTTACTGTAACTCGATCCTCCATCTCCGACAGCAAGATGGGCCTGGCAATATTATAGTATAATTCATAGAAAATATATCCTATATTTACATCCTGGTTACTATCACTCGATCCTCCATCTCCGACAGCAAGATGGGCCTGGCAATAGTATAGTGAGTGGGTGAGTTGGGTTTAACACCGCTTTTAACTGTATTCCAGTTATATCGCGGCGTGTCAGCTTAATGTGGGAGGAAAGCCCGAAATGATGCAGGTCTCAGACGTTTACCACTTCGGTGAAACCCAAGAGCACGGGTATGGTGCTGACAAACCTAGAAACATAATCGGGGCGAACCGGGATTCGAACCCACAATCATAGGTTTCTGGCGTGCCCAAGGGACGCAACTCTGCACAGCGAATCGCGGCGCCTTAGACGACTGGGCCACCCGTGCCCCCTGGCAATAGTATAGTATAATTCATAGAAAATATATCCTATATTTACATCCTGGTTACTGTAACTCGATCCTGCATCTCCGTCAGCCAGATGGGCCTGGCAATAGTATAGTATAATTCATAGAAAATATATCAATATTTACATCCTGGTTACTGTAACTCGGTCCTCTATCTCCGACAGCAAGATGGGCCTGGCAATATTATAGTATAATTCATAGAACATATATCCTATATTTACATCCTGGTTAATGTACCTCGGTCCTCCATCTCCGACAGCCAGATGGGCCTGGCAATAGTTTAGTGTAATTTATAGAAAATATATCCTATATTTACATCCTGGTTACTGTAACTCGGTCCTCCATCCTGGCATCCTGGGCCTGGCAATGGTATGGAACATTCTCCGAACTCGCGTACACTGTAAAGATCGATACTGGACTTGCTTGGACAATTTACCTATGATCAGATATATTTGGGGACCCTTGAAGAAACGTTAGCATTGAATAGTACCATTATCTTTCGTTGATACGGACACACAGACTATAACCACAATAAGACCTTATTTAACTAGACACCTGAATTCATTTGACGCGCATCGTTGACAGGGTCATATCATGTTTTACCCTAATCCTAGGATCTAAAATGTTTTCCTTGACACCAGGAAGCAAGTAATATATTTTTCGTTTTACACTGGATAAGGATCCGGAACTTGGGACACACTGACACGCTGCATAATGAAATATGCATCCACTGACCTTTCTCGTGGTATTCGGGACAGGTCCGGCTTTCTCAGAGAAATGCGAATAGGGACCATTTCAACTTTCCTGAAATTGAAGGATTGTACACTTGACTTATCTTGACTGATTACAAATATGAAGATTGAAATATTCCGATCTAGGTTATAATGTTAGCAAACCTTTCTTGGCCATAAGGAAACATTTCATGGGCTTCCCGTGCTTTTTCCTGTCTTTGCATGTGTTTGTGACGAGTGCCAGGTGGGCAGGATTCGATAACCTTGTCGCGAACACCTGGTATCATCACTAGTGATTCAAAAACGCATGCCATTATGTAGTCGGAATCGTACAATGGAAGGGATATACTTTCATGATTATCGAAATGATGTTTGTCGGGGGTTTTTTAATGAGTGGTGGTTGGGTGCCCTAGTGATTCAAGCGCTCGCTCGTCACGCGAAGGCCCGAGTTCGATTCCGCGCCTGGGTACAACGTTGGAATTCCCTTTGTCGCACTCCACGGCGTGATGTTGCTGGAATATTGCTAAAAGCGGCGGCAAGGTGCTCTTTTTGTTCGTAAATATACAACGTCAGCGCCAGGAGCTGCTCATTCTCAACTATCTGCCGAAACATTCCATGGGGCGAAAAAGGCAAAACACAGGTGGACATTATACGAATGGCCTACGGAATATAAATGATGACACCAGGTGTTCTCGAAATGGATAAGCATTTTTTGCTCCGCCGGTAGCACCCTTCACGGAATTTGCATAAAATAGCATCAACAAAAAAACGAAACAATGTGAGTAACGTAGTAGTGAACACATGTTTCCTGCCAGTGCTACTGTGTAATAGTACATTTGTACACTGACGCCAAGCTCTTCCACGTCCTATGAGAGATATCATGGCCAACGCACCTGTTCTTAAAATTTGAGCATGAGCTGTCTGTAATTTATGAAACTATGTTTTCTGAACAGGAAGTATTCAATGCTGATTTTACAATACATCATGGACATTACAGAATATATAACGTTGCCATTATCGAATTAATCAGAATAGCTACAAGCACATTATAATGATACAGCTTAAACGGTTACTTGAAGACTAACTTGTATTTAGGGTTTAATTTTCAAAAAGGGTTGAGATACCTTTACACAGCCAAAACAAATGTTTAACAGTTTCGTTACTGGTGTTCGAAAAAATAATAAAACAAATCATTATTTTGAAGAACAAAAAGTTACAAGGTATGAATTATTTATTCCACGTATACATTTTGTTTTTGCAATTATCCAAATTGTTTAGTTCTTTTTCAAAAACATATTCTAAACTACCGGACACTAGAAAGTATACACAAATGATTGATGGTGCCTAAAATGAAACAAACAAGAAATGGTTGTTCGATGGTGATGTATATGACGAGGGTAGCACAGGCGAAAATACATGCACCATATCAACGAGTACCTCCCAACAAGTGTTGTCAGCCTGGTAACGTCTTGATAACAGTTGTAATGTATTGATCAAATCCGGTTTTTAAGTGTATACTTTGTTTGCCCGGCAGAGTAGTAGAAGACAACAAAGGCTCAAGAACGAGACGATGCAACATACTTTGAACGCCAAAGCAGGGCAGCAGCGATGATGGTGGCAGCAACAATAATGGATGTCACCAACATTCCGACTACGATGGCGTTGGTATTGTCTGTCATAACATAATAAGAACATGAACATATACAAATATACGAAGTAAACTATTGGACGCATCCTTTACATCTTTTATTTTCTTCGCTTTAACACCAAAATTCCACATAGTCGTTCATGAGTACACTGTTTATGTCAGTAGTATTATTTGTGATTCTTTATATTCATTTGAAATAGCGCAGTATCTACAGTCTAATACGTCTACCGTTTACCTTTGTATGTTCGGAATTGAAATACTGGACTCTGGCGACAGCCTGTCTTCGTGCAAGCAACAGCAAGGTAGCTGTAAAAAAAACGGCACCAATGTATGTAAATAGGTCGTCTATAACTTTATTCAGCAAACATTAACGTGGTGTTAGTATGTATAAGTATAAGCTGTCATTGCTTTTCATTTGCAGGAATTTCATTTCAACTTTTTCCTTTACCTCATGCAATTTCCCGGCAAAGACTAATTACTGGTTTTCAAAGTTACTGAAACCGTTTGCTCTATGACGGACCGGCGATGTCATTGAACAATGAAAAATGTGTTGTTTGAATTATCATTTTTTAATCAATGAAATTAGATCGTAATGGAGTTAATTAGCGTGGTGTTTCATTGCAGAGTTCAGAGTATTATGCTTTCTTATCACAAATGATTCACGTACTAGTATTCTGTGTCTGGTTCCAGCCCTCTCCTACAATAGCCAGCCGTACAGTCTTTGATGAACCCACCTGAAACAAGGTTTAGGTGAGTGAAAACTTGCACCAAGGAAACTTGGTAATATTTTAGATAATAACACAGTCATTGTATTCAACAACATTCCATGTAATGTGGTACAAAGTAATATTATTTGCAGATGGCATAACTATTAAGCTATTAAGTATTTGGGGGATTGTGTTGGATGATAGGGACATCGGGAACGTTTACATGTCAAACGCAAAGGAAAATATGTCTGAAATATGATACAGTGGAGAGAAAATGTTTACCATTACAACACTCGATTTTCGTTGCCCTCACATCCCCAGATTGAAGATCTGAAATGTTCGATTGAGTCATATCATTAATTATTGGTTATCTTACTTCATAGCAACGTCTTAAAACACAAAAAGTTAACACAAGAATACTGTTGTTGTACAAGTATTACGTACCTGGTACTTCCAACGTTTCTTTTTTGGTTGATATGTACAAGCGACCTTTTGTTATGGCACCATTCTTACTGTTATTAAAAAAATCAATGCGTTTTATTTTGATGAAATTTTCAGAGACCTCAAATGATGGTTGCAGGCCATGTGGCCATTCTGGAGGAACTGCAATATAAAGAATACAAGAGCATCAAAGCGTTGCACATTCAGTGTATCATTACATGTGTTACATGTTACATGTGTTATAAGAGGACTTGCTCAAAAGTTGTTTGATCAGGGTTTACAGCATTCACGAGCCCGGTAACGCTTTAGTTTCTTAAAGTTTATTCAAGACTTGGTTCACCTTTGCTTTTGTTAGTGACGGGAACCACCAGTGGGACAAGATAAGCTCTTCTTTTCGCGAACACTTTCTCGCACGTGTTGATAGTCATTCACAAACACATGCATATTATATGGTCAGAATCATACAATGGTGTCTGATTTAAGAGATTTATATTATTATGGAAATGTTTTTTCTCGCTTATGCTAATGATTATGAAAAGGGTTTTACATCAAGGTATGGTGAAGGTATAATTATGTAATTCTGCCGTGACATTTTACCACCCTGCAGCTTCATTGATCTACTTATGGTATTGATTTTACGTTAGATTTTGCTCATGATCGCATAACCGCGAACGTAAATGTTCAGAAGCACGCCTTTCGAAAACCCCACCCTGTACTGAAGTTACTTCATAAACAAAGCTCAGACAAATGTCTTTCACGTCACAATTCTTGAGTGTCCTGTCTGTAGAACATTTTATGACGTCATAATAGTAATGTGTAATTTTTCGCTGGGGAAGACAGTTTGAATAATGCTTACATGATACCCGCTAGAGATGAAAAATCAAAACACAGTAGGTTTATCTTCTGAATAAACAACGTCAACGTCAGAGAATAACTAGTCTCAACTGTCCGCCGAACATTGTTTGTGAAAGACCAAATCAAGGTGAAAATCAGCGATGTCACCAGGTGTTCGCAAAAAACGTAATTATGTCCTGCCCTACCGATAGCGACCGCCACTCACACATTAACACATTAACAATTAACACCTGATTATATAATGAGTTACTGTCAATGATAATACTTAGTTGTGGCATTGTAAATGTACTAATATTGACATGTCATCTGTTATCAGGTTCTGTACACTTTGTGGTACATCAAGTACAGTAAATGTGAACAAGACAAAGCAGTAGTTGATGCCATGACAACCACCCACACACTCAGCCAGGTCCCACACATGTAGGGTAACTACGAGGGATGACAATAATCTGGAGAACAACAAATGAACAACATACCTCCGATAGGTGCAAGGCACGACGAATTTGCGGACACATTGTAGAGAGTACCATTGTGATTTACTTGAATCTGCATATGACACAAGTGTATGTGAACAGGCGTTTGTAATATCCTGCAGTACAAAGTGTCATTTAAAAGATTGTATCAAAGGTATTCATTCACAGCAAACATATACTAACGATCTAATTTGTGTTTTCCTTTGAGCTTGAAAAACAACGAAAAGGGGAAGTAATCAGTTCGTGTTATACATCTCTTCATGGCAGTGTCATGTTTTCATTAATTATTGATGATAAGTCAGTCTTCCGTAAAGATAAACGAAACATCAGCTGTGAAATATGTTCATCGATGTGTACGACTGGGTGCTCTGAAAAGGTCCTCACCTTGAAAGTATTCGTCGAACCTGGAGTTACAACAATCGGGACATTGTAGCCTGATCCCGCCCCATTTGCCTCTGATGGGATATTGCGCTTCTGAAATAGGATTTTGAAGTCAAGACACAAGCAGGAAGTAACTGAGAGCACATATTGGATAAAAATACTCAATTTCAAAAGTAATTGTTTTCATTTAGTTGCTCATTTCAAAGTAGGGTGATATCTACAAGGCATCCCGCTCTGTAAATAAATCAACAATGAATGTACTCACTTCCCCGTTAGTGACAAGTATATAGCTGGTTATCGATGTGCCAATCCGTGGCTTTGACCATACTATTGTCATCTGCCTGTAGTTTCCAACGTTGTTGGATTGATGCCCAGATTTTCTGCAATCACCTTCTGCTGTGACGATCTTGAATTCAAGGAAATGAACTGAAATCAGATATTGTTAATAATAAAAGACTTTACGATCATGATCAGGGACCACATGAACAATGATTAAGAATAGCAGTTTGGAAAACTGTATCTTTACGAGAAGTATCTTACATGTTAAACATTTGCAAATAATTCGGAGACTGGGTATTTTTACTAAAGAAACTAACGTGAAATACACATTCTAAAATTAATTGACATATAATAGGAAAATATATTTCAGTGTTAACACATTACTTTCCATGCTTGTCAGATTGCGCTGCTTTCCTTTGCCAGCTGTGGTAAAAGTTGTTACCCCAAGAGTGTACTTCAAGAAATAATTGACATCTTCTTTCGTGTAACATATTGATGTCGCTGCAACATATATGTGGATGACATATACACCTTGCACAAGTGGTTCATTGAAAGCAATCATATGCAAGCACACTCACATAATTGCACTGTTTAAAACTAATGAAATTAGAGAGCTTCTTTACAAGTTCAGTTTTATTTACTGACGTTCAACACAACGTATTTGACTCAAGATATGTGATTTGTATCACTAAGGATTAATTCAATTTTGTAAAATCTCAAGGGATTGTATGTTAGTTTACATCTGTAATATTATTTACCATGGCAGTGTGAAAATAAAATGGCATACCGCTGATATTGGATGCTTTTGCAACGGTACTGTTGACTTCATCAAATATTTCTACCCTGTATGTGACAGGCCCTGGGTGTGGTTGGGGAGGTTTCCACGTTGCACACACGAGACATGTCTTATTTGCACATGTAGTCAAGTCTTCTACAGCGTTGGGAACTTAAAACAGAATTGAAAAATTATACAAATAAAATGAATCTATATACTAAACCCTGAAGCTGTTACGATCGCCTACTGTTAAATAAAATGTGTATAAACGTGTTTATGATATTTAGCTCACAGATGCCTCAAGTACTTTGGTTATGTAAATTGTGTAAAGTTAATATCATCACAAATAATTTTCGAATTGAAAATACAGGAATAATCGCAAACATACCAAATCACTTTGATTACTGAATGAAAACATGAGTACACGTGCATTACAAAATGAGCGAAACTGTTGTCGATTACATTTAGACCAGCAACTAATAATATCGAATATTATAACTTAGTATTGCTGGCATGTCGTATACCTGCTGAAGTAGTTCGCGCTGATTTATTTGCTGGGCGACTGCTTTCAAGACTCCCATTGTTGCACTTTTCCATTACCACCTTGAATTCATATGTGGTGAAGGGCTTCAAACCTGTCACATTGTATTCTATGTGCCAGTTTTTAGATGGCTCGACGACATTAACTTGTTGACACTGTGAACAAGACATATTGATATATTTTCCTATTTCACACTGCCCACAGAAGTAATGGTTGATTAAATATTGCATAAACCCTGATTCGCTTAAAATACTGATTGTTATAATATTTAATATTAAGATATATACCTGCGCCAGTGTCTAATAATGCAATACCAAAAGGCTGTGTTTATATCAAACATTTCACTGGCCTCCTGTATGTATTCGTCATGTAACAACATTGTCAGTCAAAGCTCATACCTCACTACAAACATCCTGTGATGAATTACTTCGGAGGACAACGCACTTTGGAGGATCTGAAGAGTTGTAATCAATCCTGAACGTGTTGTAATCCAGGGGTCCATCAAATGCTACAAGAACTGATGACGAAGTCTGACCAGAAACGACTAGATTCTTCACTCGTCTTTTCTCTGTACAATATATATTGTTGTTCAATAGTAATACAGCATTATTGGAATTTTTTGGTAATATAAAACGGCAAAGCGAGAGAATAAAGGTCAAAATATTTGTGACAATTATTATGAATGAACCACTGAAAATCAGTGACAACACCTGGTGTTTGCGAACAGGGTACGCATGTCCTGCCCAACCGGTAGCACCCCCAGTTAACGCAATTTATATTTAAAAGAGTAAATATTTATAGCCTGACACCGACACAGCAGTACACCTGCCATGCGACGGAGGTCTGTAAACAAAGGAGACAAAATCAAGTGACCGATAGACCATTTACTGATTTCGTTGAAACTAATTTATTTTGAATGGCGTCTGCTGGACACAAGTGCAGTGATTCAGCTGCTTAAAAGCAAAGCAAAACGTTTAAGAAATATGTGCGCTTTGCAACACAATGGGTGCAGTTTTAATGTCTCGGCCTAAACATTTCTTTTGTAACTGACTCAGCATAGATAAATGATAAATATAATTATCAATATATATTTAGTCTTCCCACTAACGTAATCATTAGTATTACCTTTTATCGTACAGGAAGATCCATTTACTATCATGAACCCGTCTTTACACCGACATGTGCTAGATACACATTCGGCGTTCTCCACACACGTGCTGTTACTGCAGACTTCACCTGGTAAAACTCCTGAAAGACACACCATGCACTCGTATTATAATTAGTTGGATTGAAGTTCATAGGCATGTGAATAGTTAATCAGAGTTAGTATCTCATCAAAATTCCTGTATACTGAACTGAAAGAATGACGTCATGGGTTATAACAGAGCGATGTATATAAAAATGACATTATGAAAATGACTAATAAGAGTTAAACTGTAATTACCATGACATTATGCACACAAATTATCATTATCATACATATATTTTACAAAAACATATGTGTACATCTTCGTAAGATTGAAGAGTGTTTTCCTACGAAGGAAAAGTGGTCGTCAAAAGCAAATTCACGTAACAAGTTGGGACACATCATAGTCATTATGAGAAATTACAGTATGCAAATACAAACGTCATTTCAAATTAGTTTCACAAAGTGAGTCGAACGTAAAGCACATAAAAATATAGGGGCTTCACATTATCCAGCTGCTACACCAATACCAAGGTCATGTGTTATCATATCCATAAGGAACACTTTTGGAAGACCTCTCAGTGTTACTACGATCGCTACTTTAACACCTCAAAGTACCACTACATCTACCACTATAACACCTCAAAGTGGCATTACCACCACTACTGTAAAACCTCAAAGTACCACTACGAGAAAGACTATAACATCTCAAAGTACCACTACAACCACTACTGTAACACCTCAAAGTACCACTACGACCACTACTGTAACACCTCAAAGCACCACTACGACCACTGCTGTAACACCTCAAAGTACCACTACAACCACTACTTTAACACCTCAAATTACCACGACGACCACTAGTGTCACACCTCAAAGTACCACTACGACAACAACTTTAACACCTCAAAGTACCACTACGACCACCACTGTAACACCTCAAACTACCACTACGAACACTGCTGTAACACCTCAAAGTACGACTACGACCATCACTGTAACACCAAAAAGTACCACTACGACCACTACTGTAATACCTCAAAGTACCACTTTGACAACTGTTGTAACACCTCAAAGTACCACTACGACCACTGCTATAACACTTCAAAGTACCACTACGACCATCACTGTAACACTTTAAAGTACTACTACGACCATCACTGTAACACCTCAAAGTACCACTTTGACAACTGTTGTAACACCTCAAACTACCTCTACGAACACTGCTGTAACACCTCAAAGTAGCACTACGAGGAAGACTGTAACACCTCATAGTAGCACTATGACCAGTGCTGTAACACCTCAAAGTAGCACTTCGACCACTACTGTCACACCTCAAAGTACCACTACGACCACTACTATAACACCTCAAAGTAGCACTACGACCACTAATGTATCACCTCAAAGAAGCACTACGACCACTAGTGTAACACCTCAAAGTACCACTACGAGGAAGACTGTATCACCTTAAAAGTAGCACTACGACCACTAGTGTAACACCTCAAAGTAGCACTATGACCACTGCTGTAAAACCTCAAAGTAGCACTACGACCATCAGTGTAACACCTCAAAATACCACTACGAGGAAGACTGTATCACCTTAAAAGTACCACTACGACCATCACTGTAACAGATTAAGGTACCACTAGGAGAATGATTGTAACACCTCAAGGTACCACTACGACCACTACTGTATCACCTCAAAGTACCACTACGACCATCACTGTAAAACCGTAAAGTACCACTACCAGAAAGACTGTAACACCTCAAAGTAGCACTACGACCATCACTGTAACACCTCAAAGTACCACTACGACCACTACTGTAACACCTCAAAGTACCACTACGAGGAAGACTGTAACACCTCAAAGTACCACTACGACCATCACTGTAACACCTGAAACTACCACTTCGACCACTACTGTCACACGTCAAAGTAGCACTATGACCACTAGTGTAACACCACAAGGTACCACTACGACCACTACTGTAACACCTCAAAGTACCACTACGAGGAAGACTGTAACACCTCAAAGTACCACTACGACCATCACTGTATCACCTCAAAGTACCACTTCGACCACTACTGTCACACGTCAAAGTAGCACTATGACCACTAGTGTAACACCACAAGGTACCACTACGACCACTACTGTAACACCTCAAAGTACCACTACGGCCACCACTGTAACACCTCAAAGTACCACTACGACCATCACTGTAACTGTTTACAGATCATTGCCATACACTGAGACTGACATTCTATAACTATAAGAACATTGTGCTTGTTAATCTACTTCTTATTTCTGTTTCTGGATTAAAACATGTGCGCATCAGCTTCGAGGGGTTTGAAAGAGAAGACAAACAGCAGAAACACGTGTTAAAAATATCAAGGGATAAATATATTTTTAAATAAAATTAAAACCTGCAAAAGAAGACTTCGGTAGTGTGTTAATTGAAACAGGCAGGATTGAAAGAAATGTAAACGTATCACAGTTCGTCATCATCTATATCGATTACCCAAAGCGTTGACTGAGAACTGGGAACTGATTGAATAGAAAAGTTAACCAATCTGTGGTTTTCAAATGAATAAAATAGTTTGTCTGATGCAGTATATTATATTACTTTAGGCACCGCTATAGACCGAACCATTTTCAGATGAAATCAGTAGAAGTGAGGTGAATATAAGTGAGATATGTACAGAACGTTAAGGTTATGTTAGGCATGTGCATGTGGTGTGTAATAAAGGCATGCGCAATGTGATATTGTAGTTAAACAGAAAGGTGTGGGTAGGCATGGTAATGTGGGGTGTTATATAAGGATGTGCAACGTGATAGTGTAGTGAAAAAGAAGGGTGTGGTAGTCGTGGTGATGTTGGAGTAATATAAGGATTATAAACGAAATGCCAGATACATGGGTTTTCTGCATTCACGACTCACGTGGGATACACTTCCCATCCTTGAAGAATAAATCTGCCTGACATGTGCAGGTGTTATTGATACAATCAACGTTAACAACACATTCGCTGTTGTTGTTGCATCCTTCGCCCACCTGTTCTCCTGTATAACGGACATACGGTAAAGACAATCAAACAGGGTCATCGTCGGTACAACGTGAACATGCTGTGCAAGATACATGCATGTGTCACTTTATAAACTTGTGTAATTGTTAGGAATATTTATACATAGATTATTGTAACATGTTTTGTTATATCAGCTGGGTTTTTTCTAAGGAAGGAGAATATTACATATCCCGAAAGAAATATTTTCACGTCTTTGGGCAAATCATAAACTTCTTTTCCTGCATGCACACATAAACACAAATAAGATCAAATTGCACGAACATGTAAGAACATATTTCAGTACAATAATAACAATTGCAATGAAACCAATTGTTCATAGTAAAAATTATTAATGGTTTCATATCATGTCAGTGCATTCGGCAGTGTGTCAGAAATTAGGATGAGTTGCTGTACTAAGATAGTTTCCCTTTCCAGTCGCAATAACTTACTGGCTTCACATTGTTGGTCCTTCTGGTAGTAATCTCCAGGGCATGTACATACCGAGTAATTACACGTAGATGGCGCCATACAACGCGTGTCATTTGTACAATTGCCGCCAACTGGTATTGCTTGGAACAAACATAAACCACATCAAGCATATTATACAGTTCACCACTCGGCCAATGACTTTAAGACTGATTCACATTGTCTATATAAACATGATTAAGGTAATCATTTACGTATTCCTATTGCAGCAGGTACATTACTATCTCTCCAAAACGTAGGGGATACTTACCAATGGGTGGGAGGGTGGTGGTATTTTATCAATTAAAAAAAATGATCATGCTTCAAATGTTAATAAAATATAGAAATTGTCTGCCTCGAAAATTACATTGTCACAGGCGGAATCGGCCAAGTCATCTCAAAGGTTTACATTTTGTACTACATGCCCCTATAATATTTCATTGTTGTTTTCACAGTTTCAATTCACACCAACATGTCCTGTTATTTGTCACGTTACACCCGGGTCTTCCTATGTCGTATCCACCATTAGCATCACTCAATATACACTCTCTTTGTTTCTGTAATCATCTGTTTTCGAATATTCCCCTATGTATTTTTGGAGAGTATTGTTTACTTTGCATTTGTCAACAGCTGTAGTGTAATCTTGCAGATACTGGCTCACTTGGACAAAGCACTCGTGGCGTTACATCGATCAGACCTTGGATGTATCGCTGTAGGCCAGCGGGTTGAGGATATATACATACACACAGTAAGTATTGGGCCGGTTGTGTAAGTCCGATGTTGATAACAGGTCAACTCCTAACCATCTGTCAACTACTTGATCAACGTACGTCAACAAGCGTTAATTCGTGGAAGCCAGTTACAAATACACAATTATCTTCTTACATACGTGGTTGACCTGTCGATTACAATATGTTCCAGATTGAAGACATTACCATGGTATTAGTTAATCACCTCGTTTAATCTAACCTTTGGGTTTAGATGCTGTTAATGTTAAAACCAGTCGCAAAAGACACATGATGTTAAGCTATATCGGCTATACACATCACACCTCCGGCGTGTTTGATGTGAGCAATGTGAATGTATATACGTTTTTCTATCTCTTTTCTTTCCTTTCTGTCATTTGATTTATTAACTGTAAATAAGTATAAATGTAAATCTATGGGAGAGGGCGTTCTAAGTTGTGATAACTTGTGCCCAATCCTTTTCAGGAGAATAAAATATGTTTAAATTTAAAAATATCTACACCTCCGGCGTCTAAGACAAATTCGAATCCGAGTCCGTGTTCCTCTTGTAGATTATGAGAATTTTTCCAGATGGGGACAATTTCATTCCGTATTTTTTTAAAGAAAATTAGAGTAACCAAGGGAATTTTGATGAAATGTTACACTTGAAAAATTAGTAAAAGAGAGATTACCATGAAAATATAAATTGTCATTGCAAGAAAAACAGCTTCCATTTGGCGTAAGGTGCAAAATAGCTGTGAAAATTATATGAATGGACCACTGAAAATCGGTGATAACACCAGGTGTTCGCGAAAGGGGTAAACATGTTCGGCCATACAGGTAGCACCCGCCATTCACACAATGAGCATTAAGTAAGTAAGTAAGTATTGCCTGACGCCACACAGCAGTACGCCTGCAATGCAACGGGGCCTGTAAACAAACCAGACAATCAAGTGCTTTATGAACCAGATAAAACAGTTCTATGGACTATGATTAACAGTATAACGGTACATATCGAGACTATAGACAACATGAAGAAAACAAATACCAACAATAATAAGATTGGCACAGATTGAACAAACACTATACAGATATAAGGGTTTTATGGTGAGCTCCTAGCTGTGGGACATGCAGTTCTATACCTCCTGTATATGATCCCAGTATACACCAGGTTGTCCGTCATGCTGTATAAATGGAGTACAGAACATACCTGTGTTGCTCGTGAGTGAGTGATTCGTTCAGCTGCGCACTGGACAGTATTTCTGTTATATCATAGGTGTCGACTAAATGATGGAGAGCTCTAACCTGACACAAGTCGTTATATATATATATACAAGTGATTTCATCAGGTGCAGAGTCAAGATATTCGTGCTTGTCAAAACTTTATATATATATATATATATATATATATATATATATATATATATATATATATATATATATATACAGTAAACTACGCTTATAACGAACTGGCCGATATAACGAACTTATTTTTTAGTCCCGGCCATTTGTTGTATATATGCAGAACATATGCTTATAGCGAACTACGGTTATAACGAACTAAAATTAGTGGTCCCTTTGAGTTCGTTATAACCGTAGTTTACTGTATGTATATTCTAAAAGATAATTATCTGCTAAGTCTACTCACTCATGAGTAACACATGTTGGCTAATGTTGAACTCTCGACACGAAACTATATAATCATTCCGGACTCCTAACTTGCTCATACATCTTTTGAGCACATCCTGGTTAGCTTTTGTTAGTATGTATTTTATCTGTGATGCGTAGTTTCAATTTTAGGACAGTTTGACTGTAGTACAATGGTTTATATAACATGAACTGTAAATAACACGAAACATGTAAATATCCTATGTAAAAGTTGCATCACTAAAAGTAAAAAGAAATGACACAAATGCACAATACATAGCTGTAATGTGAATAGTATTGTACAAACGTACATATTAGTACATGTAAGTAAAAGATATATGCGTCCCAATATGTAATACATGGTGATTATTGTCATCCTGTTTAAAAGAACGGAGAAAGTGACATGTATCCATTTGGGCTTTATCGACTTAATGAGTAAATATGTTGTATATTTGTACATTCTGTATATATTTTGATATCGTGTTTATAACATAGACACGTATGTATGGTCATGCACGTGCATTACCCACTCACAAGGCACACACTGTGTTCCCAGCCTGTAGGAGCCGTACGCGCATGTACACCGACTCATGATACAGAAGGCACCACGCCCACACTCCCGACTCAAGCGGCACCGACCTTACAATCAAGCACACGTTGTCATAACCTGGCATGTCGACAATGCGAAGGAGCAAATTACACGAGGTGGGTGAGGGGTTAAGCACCTTTCCTTTATTGCCATATATTGCGAATAACTGATTAAGATCAATGGTAGATGTTTAAGATCAACCAATACCTGGTGATGCAGGTCTCAGACGTATACAACTTCGGTGAAACCCACGAGCAAGGGTATGGTGCTGACAAACCAAGAAACATAATCGGGGCGAACCGGGATTCGAACCCATTATAAAAGGTTTCTGGCGTACCATGGGACGCAACTCTGCACAGCGAATCGCTGCGGCTAAGACGACTGGGCCACACGTTCCCCCTATCATATGATGAGAAAAGTGAGTGAGTTTGGCGTTAACAATATTCCAGCAATATCACGGCCGGGGGCACCAGAAATGGGTTCACATATTGTTCCCATGTGGGGAATCGAACCCGGTCCTTCGGCATGACGAGCGAACGCTTTAACCACTAAGGTACCCCACCGCCCCTAAGATGCGAAGAAGCAGACAATAATTGTAAGGGTTGTCAAATAGCTCATGAGATGGAACAGTCACTAAATATGCCATCACATAATCATTTCGGTTTCTGTATGTGTATACATATATTTCTGTATACAATAAGTGTATGCCACATTGGAACCCAATACAAATTTCGTAACAGAATATATACAGGATGAATTCACAATATATATACAGGATACTACTTTTTTTAAATTGCTACTTTATATGGAAATGAACTGCGATTCTGGATTAGTTTTCACGAGTCCATTTCCTTTAGTGATATAATTATGCATTTCAAATGTTTTTTTCTAATGAATTTGACATGAAAAAACGTTGTTTTATCTGCGTCAAACGTCTAGTGACCTTTGTGTACCTTCTTGAAGTGACTATCAAAGGAGTGGTACCGAATATATATATATATATATATATATATATATATATATATATATATATATGCGCTGGGGCATTGTCTCTGTGGAAATAGGGCATTCATTAAGTTCTGGATTTGTTTAACATCATAATATGTGTGCTGGTAGGCACCTGAGTGCTGTTTATACGACTAGAAGCAAGCCAAGTGCTCCTTTAATACATATCTTTGTTAAATTGCTTAATTTGAAACATGACGCACAAATCATCGGTGAACCAGGTACATGACAATTGCACCTTATTTTCCTGGGAGACAATTGGATTCGAAATGTTGCATTGCAGATATTTCGTTAGTTTTTGCCAGAATACGAGTACTTACATATATTTTGAACACAATATTTTTAAACGTTTACGTGTACGCGTTGGATTTACTTAAAATAAAGATAGATGCAAAGTTGTTAATGAATTATTAATGACAAACATAGTATTCTTGCTTACTCAGATGACATGGAAGCAGTGACTAGGCTGTACTATTGTATACTGTCACTCAGCGTTATTCAAATGGACTTAAAAAGTCATGAAGGGCGCGGGGTATCTATAAATTCAGGTTTACTTCAGGTGTACAACACAGAAGGGCTGACTGTACCCTAACGGGTATTACGACACATGCCGAAGGCAAACAGTGTGGTGTGTAGGCCTACCTGGGGGTGTCGTCGTGGGAGATGGTGGTGGTAGTGTTGTTGTTAGTGGTGATGATGTCGATGTTTGGGTCGTTGTCGTCTCAGGAGAGGTAGATGTTGGAGCATCTGTCTCAGCAGATGTAGATGTTGAAGGATCGTGTATAGTAGTGGTTGACATTGGTGAAGGAGTGCCTGTAGCCTCCATCATAGACGTGGAACTGCCTGGGGTATCTGATGTCGTGTCTTGAAGCGTTGTTATGGTCAGGTACACAACCTGTAAATAACATAACGAGATAACTAATCATGTTTGGCAGTATCTCCGTCCATGACGTCAGTGCTGGCAACGGATCTCAATACTATTGGAGATAATTTATATATTTATTTCCTGAAAGTAGATTGAGTGAGTGAGTTTGTTTTACGCTGCTTCCAGCAATGTCATGTAACATGTCCTTGAATGAGGTATATATGAAAATAGCTGACAGCCAGGTAAAACCAATCCTTACGTGTGTGGGGATTCCAAAGATATGATAGTTTTGAGAAGATACACAAGACAACAAGTATTTGCGTCCTAAATGTTGGACCTCAAACACAAAATGCAACAGTGTATGGCGAATGCGGCCGTTTTCCAAGTTTTATTTTTTCAGCTGCTCAGAGTATCAAATACTGGCTAAAACTATTGTCAATGCACAAAGAGCGTTAACCTACAAAAAGCTTAAGACATATTTTTAAACGTTATTACATATGGACTATACTGGACATAAAACCGGGCTTCCGAAATGAGACATTTTATTCTCTCGTATTTATGTGGGTTTGTTTGGCTTTCACAGAAAATCCGTTTAATTCAATAATATATTTAATTATAAGAAACGTGCAATAGATTTTTATTTATCAAATTTGGAGAACGGTCCTTGAAGGTAGTCCAGGGTATAGTTTATATAGGGAGTTTAATACTTTGCACCCGACATGTACCTTAATGACATTGTTGACTTCCAAACATGGGTTAAATGCAGAGCAGGGTTACAACATTTCAAAATAAGGAAGGCCGGTGGCAAAGAATCGATATATCACTGAGAAAATTACCTTTATGTAAAATCGGTATAGGAGGGTGTCCGCCTCATGATGAAACCAGAATGAAATATCTTCCATCAAATAAACATTTCAATACTTTTAATATTAAGAAAGCTCTTCTTATAAATACAACCTACAATTTGAAAATGTTGTTCCTATGTATTTTTCAAGCTTATGGAAAGAGACGTAAATCCCTAAGTGAAAAATAGTAATAAATCTATTATAAAGAAGTGAGGTACTATATACTGACCATTTATATATATCTATCTTTGGATGGGCCCAGGGGCCTTCAGACATATATAAAGATTTTGATTAAACTGATGTGTTTGTTTGTTGTTTAACGCCGCACTCAACAATTATTCCAACTATTTGACGGCGGTCTGTAAATACTCGATTCTAGAACAGCCAATCCATTGATTGATATCTTGAGCATCGATCTGTTCAGTTGCGAAACGATGACACGCAAGAACCAAGTCAGCGAAATCACCCGATCCCTGTCGTTTCTTGTTATAACAAGCATGGGTTGCTGAAGACTCGTATCTTAAAGGTCGGCAACTGAATATATAACCATGGTATTACAGTATTTACATATTAATACTTTCATTGAAGTAAATGTATACACTTCAACCACACTGGGGGCGGTCGGGTAGCCTGGTGGTTAAAGCGTTCGCTCGTCACGCCGAAGACCTGGGTTCGATTCCCGACATGGGTACAATTTGTGAAGCCCATTTCTGGTGTCCCCCGCCGTGATATTGCTGGAATACTGCTAAAAGCGGCGTAAAACCATACTCACTTACTTACTCACACACACAACCATACGGAAGTAATTCAATCATATTTACCAAATAAAAAGTATTTAAAGTTACCTTAAGAACCAAAACGCATAATATAATTAACATATGCACGTGTAGCATTAGTTTAGTTTCCGTATTGACACTTTAAGCCAGTAGAAACATCTTGATAATCAGCTGCAATGTAAGCGGAATACAGTCAACCTCTTGTGTGTTAGTGTGTTAAAGTCAATACAAAATGCCGGTTTCATTTAGGTTTAATGAGTCACCGTTTCCTTGTTTTTCAGTTGAAAACAGTATCCCAGTCAAAGTCCTTTCAAGTTGTGCAAGGGCAGTTTCCTTTCAACGCCATCTCAACAAGGAAATAAATTGAAGTATTGCACCATCATCTGTCACGTGACATGGTGTGTTTCTTGTATATATGTGTGCTTATCACCCGTATCACGCCCAGCAGTGACTCATATAGTTAAAGGGGACACGGGTGGCCCAGTCGTCTAAGGCACAGCGATTTGGTGTGCAGAGTTGCGTCCCTTGGGCACGCCAGAAACCTATGATTGTGGGTTCGAATCCCGGTTCGCCCCGATTATGTTTCTAGATTTGTCAGCACCATACCCGTGCTCATGGGCTTCACCGAAGTAGTAAACGCCTGAGACCTGCATCATTTCGGGCTTTTCTCCCACATTAAGCTGACACGCCGTGATGCAACTGAAATACTGTTCACTCCCAACTCACTCACTCACTCATCATGATTGACATGGCTAATGGTTAGAAATGTCGACTGGGTAAGCCGCATATCCTACACAGCCTGCGTATCCCAGACCGAGGGTCATTGTCATGTCGGGCGGAAGCTGATAACAGTCAGGAACTCCTAATCTGACGTCAACACCCGGATGCTAGAACGAGATGAATATTACATTGTATCGTAGCCCGTATTACTGATTCTAGACAAACATACCAAAATAGTTTACTCGTCCTCGTTGCACGGACATGTAACTGACTCAAGTCACCTTTGACATTTGTAGATTTATTCCATTGACTGAAGTTTTACATCAAATAGTTTCCATGGCTTCTACGCATTCGGTGTTTTATGCCTTTTATTATATTGTGTGAGATTGAAGTGGTTGAAATCAAAGGAGTGGATATATAGTATATACATATATACTCTGCAGAAATAGAAACGCAAAAGTAGTAAATTTGCAAATATCTGACAGAGTCTTGCCGACATCCATACAAACTTAATACCCCAAATTAAATTGATCATCAGTGTTCGAGTCTTTCTCTGTTAAAGTGTGTGAAGACTATTCCTGATCTATCCACACACACTCGCTTGTTTGTTTGGTTGGTTGGTTGGTTGGTTGGTTGGTTGGTTGGTTGGCTGGCTGGTTGGTTGGTTGGTTGGTTGTTGACAACCCGTCGGGATACGATGAAAGGCAATTTCTGACAGAGTGTTGCCTCACAAAATTAATACCAAAAATTAAATTGGTCATCAGCGAACACATGCCACGACTAATGGAAGCCCAACGCAACAACTCCATCGGCCGACTGCAAACAGGGGAATCATTTTTAGCTGTAGCCAGGTTTTTCCACGTAGCACCAAGCACCATTACAAGACTGTGAAACCGTTATCAGACGCACGGGACAACACGTGACCTTTGTATGTCATATCCGGTCGACCACGTATCATACGGTTACGTCACTTACGTGAAAGAACCGCCACAGCTCTAAAACTACGGCAATACCAGAATTGCGAAGGATATCAGCCCAGACAGTGAGGAACTCTTTACGCTCTGAAGGTATTCGCGCTATACGACCAGTTGGAGGTTTCATTTTCACGGACCTGCATCGTCGGCTGCGACGTCAATGGTGTCAAGGTCGCAGAGTATGGCCACAACTGCGATGGACACAAGTTTGGTTTAGTGACGAGTCACGTGTTATGCTTCCTCGTGCGGATGGTAGACGTCGTGTTAACATGTATCGCGGGGAACGCTGTGCAGGAAACTGAGTAAGGAAGTGGGCATCCTTAGTGGTGTGATGATGTGTGCAGAGTTGGTGCAGGTTCTGGGACATTTAAAGGCACAACGTTATACGGATACAATTTTTCGGCTACACGTCCTTCCCATTATGCAAAATGCGAACGTCATTTTCAAACAAGACAACGCCAAACCTCACACTGCAATACTGGCAACAGCCTTTTTCAGGAATCACAACATCCAGGTCCTGCCATTGCCCTCCAGGTCGCCAGATTTAAACCAGATCGAATATATATGGGATGGACTGGATCATCGACTGCTAGCATGTCAGCAAAAATCACAGAACCTCCGACATTTCTCACAAGCACTACAGGAAGAGTGGGCGAACATTCCATAGGCCATAGGATCTGATTGTTGCCATGTGAGGACCATGCCAGTCAGTTTTGGACTCTAATGGTAGCCATACATGACACCGAGAACAAAAGACCTTGCCTTGAACAATCGATTAACATCTGTTGAATATGTATGTGATATATAACATATACATCTAAAAATCACCTTTGCGTTTCTTTTGTTGTAGAGTATATATGACAAGGAACTGAATACTTAATATACTGTTCCTACTCTGAAAACCAAGAGGCAGACTGACAGTAGTTCCGGAAAATATTGCGAAATATTAATTATATATTTTCGGATGAATATAGTATTTCTTAAGTAAATGTGACATTTACCTATATTTAATCTAATGTTAACATTTCAGAAAGAACAGATCTTATTTTCTTGTATTTTACCCCCGGTTTGCTTGGTTTGTTGTTTAACTCCATGCTCACATTCTCATATTGCAGTGATAATCCAGCAAAAAATAAGGTTTGGACCAGGCAAACCAGTGACAGTCTCACTCACTAGTATGATAACACAATCAACCGAATCACTGAACCCGACCGCCATATTCATTCAGTCGCCATCCACAGGACGTACGAAGGGCGCTCAATACGTTTTGCAACTTCAATGTAAGACCAAGTCGCAGAATACATTTTCCACTTATATTTTTTAAATAAAATCTCCATTCACCTCAATACACTTATTCCATTTGTCCTTCAAGCTTTTCAAGACAACGTTCATAGAAATCCGCAGATTGGCCCTCTTTATCACGCCACTGTGGCAGCCTTAATGTCCTCGTCATCCTGCGTCAAGCGTCAAGCGTCTTCCACGTAGGGCAGATTTCATTTGCCGGAACAGGAAATAGTCACTGGACCTTAAGTCTGGGCTGTAGGGTGGGTGATTTAACTGTTCGAATTCACATTCACATATGGCGGCCTGTGCAATTCTCGACTTGTGAACCGGAGCGTTGTCATGCAAAAGTAGAATGCCACGTGTTAACAATCCACGGTGTTTCTGGCGGATAGATTTTCGCAATTCTTTCATTGCATTAGCATAATACTGTG